GCTTCCTGAGTGATTCCACTAGTTGATGGGCGGAGCGAGAGGAAGGCTGTCAGCTGGGGTAGTGTAGCAGCGTGTGTGTGTGTGTGTGTGTGTGTGTGGGTGCCAGGGTGTCAGAACAAGGAGTGTATGTGTGCAACTGTTTCATACTGCTCTTGTGTTATTTAAGATTCTACACACACTAAAGGAGGTGAGTAGAAAATCTTTTTCATGCAGGCTCAGACTGAGATTTGTGTGCAGATAGATAGGCGTGAACATGTGTCAGTGGGGCAAGCTGTCTGAATAAATTTTCATTTAATGTTTTTCTTTAGAAAAAAATGTCTCTTTTATCATGTATGTGTGTGTTTACTTGTGTTTTTTTTTTTTAGTTTACGCCTGCACTGGATTATTGTCATATGTGTAGTGTTTTTTCCACTGTGTAGATGGGTGTGTTTGTTCTATTTGACTAGTCTTGCGTGGACGCACGGCTTGTCCTCAGCCGTTGCATGTGTGTCAGTCTAAATCAGTCTTAAATTGCTCTGGGGATGAATATGTTTGCTTGTGATTTACAAGAGGATGTGTTTGTTAGTACGTATCAGGGTTTCGTAATTTTACACACTGCAATGTAGAGCAGAAATTCCTTTTTTGGTCAGGTGTACGTATGAGGAGCATCGAGCATCTGTTTGGGGTAAATGCTGCCGGAGATGGGGGGATGAAAGTGGAGGAGAGCATGGGGGAGGGGTGGGAGAAGATGCTGAGGAGAGAAAAGAGAGAGATGGAGAAATGGCAGAAGGAGAAAGGAGGTTGAATATTGGAGAGGAATCCCCCAGGAGTCCCCAGAGAATTCTGATGATGACTCTGGAACAGTGCTCTTTCTTGCGGAAGGTTCCACTCAATGGTTATAGCTCACATGAACAGTGTTCACTGCATGGAATTATTCTTATACGAGCTTATAATCAGAGAAATGAGTGTTTCTAATCTGAATGCTTTAATGGTACTTTGTTAGTGTCATAGAATCATTGAAATGATGATGAGGAGTAAAGGATCTTAATGTAGCAAGTTTAGTTTTAACAAGAAGGAATCACAGAGTTTAAATACACTGAACAAACCAATCAACTATATGAACATCTGGTGCAAACGATAATCAAACAATGAGTAACCTAGGAGACTAACTAGAAGTGGAATAAGGAACTAAGGAAAGCAACTCATTGTAAAACTTGAACACAGATAAACCAGTATAACCCTGACAGTTAGGCAGCACAAAATAGATGAGATCCATTGTTGTTGATGTTTTGGTAGGCTTTTTATTTTTTCTTTATTAGGCAATCTGATGTCATGATCAACCTTTATCATGAAGATATCCACTAGGCCTACTTAAGATAATTGTCCGATGGGTGTGTGTGTGTCTATATATATATATATATATATATATATATATATATTAATGTGTGTGAAAACTGAACTAAATTTCTTCCATTTATTATTTTTCCACTCTTGCCTGATGAACATAGCCAGACACTTTCATTCTTTTACTCCCTTCCAAAAGAGACAGTGGGTGAATGTGTGAAGAGAGAGAGAGAGAGAGAGAGTGAGAGAGTATTCCCATGAAGGAGAAAATGACTTCATGCTCTGTTTGTAGACTCAACCACTCTGACTAATATTCACACCAGGCACATTTTCTCCACCTTATTTCAGATTACTGCTGAAAGTTGTTTGAAGTCATTTTTTAGATGAGTGTCTGCCTGCATGTGCTTCTTTTGGTACAAAAACAGAACTAAATATAATACAGATATTAATAAAAAAGAAAATATATATTTATATTTATTCAAATATATAATTGAATCAGTGATCAAATCGGCAGAGTGAGGAAAAAAGCCTTTATTGATAAGGGGACACTAAGAACTGTGTGTGCGAGTGCATTTTAAGAACATGAATTGAAAGTAGAGATTGCAGACCCAAATGTTTGAATTATTGTTAACTCTCCGGGAACCTTGGGTGTTGTTCTTGGCTAAGTGGCAGATTCAGCAGGAAGTCATTTTAACCCACTGTAAACACACAGAAGCTCCTGTTTCATTAAAAACCACAAGTCTTGATAATCTTGAAAGATCTCATCCTGTATTTAAGGTTCAGTACAGATTTTTTAATGTTTTATGAACTCACAAAGAAAGAAAGAAAGTCAGAAGACATTTTTGAATATCGAATGAGTGTTAGCCTATCACTATGTTCATGGAGGATTGCCTAGCTTTCCTAACTCATAACACATGAGGGGAGTCTTATGTTTAAGACTGAATCTTGCATGAGAACAGACATGGACACCAGAGGGAACAAACCATGGAGCAATAGCCTACGTATAGTTCAGACAGAATCCCAGCTGTGTCAAATTTACATGGGAGGTTTTTGATTATGCTGACAGACTCTGCAATGTGTTAGGTGTCGGAGAAACAGGGTGACGGACATGGTTTGAGCTTTGAGGCTTGAGATAGAAACCATCCTACATTTGATCTTATGATAATTTCTCAAATGTGTGAGCCGAATGTGTGATTCGTAGAAAAAACATGCGTACGCTGCTCTACCAGATGTGATATTTATAAATCGCAAGTGATCTTGAAATTGTGTGCAGCTGAATGGTTTCAGATCTCCGCCTCGGAAACGCCACCTAATTATTGCATTAACATAGAGCAACAAGTCAATGTATAAATCCTTTTAGCTATTTGAGAATGGCGAGCTCCAAAAAATCTTAGATTTCCAAACACTTACAGTAAGCCTACTCCGACTCTGCCACAAGGAAAAGTGTAGGCCCCTACAGTATATGTCTGCTTAGACCCTGATTTGGCACAAGCACTTTTCCATGTCAAAGATCATTTTTATAAATCTGAATGTTGGCATGGATTTTTGGGGCCATTTACATGACACCGTAAACCTTTGTATGTGTTTCGGCCATTCATTTACACGACAACGATGTTTTGGGGACCTGAAAACACAAACATTTGAAACGGGTTTCAAAGTGACAGTTTTTGAAAGCATGTAAACTACAAACACACACATTTGTGAAAGCAGCTCATGCACATGCAAAAAGCCAATTTTTTACATTACTAACTAGTGTTTATAATCGTTTTCACGGATTCGTGTGAACGGGATCGTCTTGACTTTACGCGAATAACGCTCAGGTGAAGCATTCCATTTTCAGTACATCGCTGTAATGTAAACACACCCTGGAATGCACACTCGACCCGATTTCATTAAATGCGTCTCTATAGCACGCTTTGAGTTTATCGTGCAATTTAAATGCAAAAATTTGTTTTAATGTGCATATGATACGCACTGTAAATTAGATTAGAGTATGTGTGTGTTTTCGTGCGTTCACGTGCTATGGAAAATAGGATATTTTCTACTTGTGAACTGGTATTTACCAGTGTGTTGCATTCAAGTGCTTTTGTTGTCGTAATGTGGTAAAAAGATCTGTTATTTAGCTAAAACTATTTTAGATTGCTTAAGTCTTCTGCAACAGCAAGAATCAAAACTGAAACTGTAAATAATATGCTGTATATATTCTAGATCATACATATTTTTACCATTGACGACTCTGGAGTTGCTCTCCGCCATTTTGAAAAGGTCATAGTGTCAGTGTCTACTATGGGACCCCTGGAGTGAAACCAGAAAAACATTATAAATCTGTCTCTTTCTTTCATCTGAGGCTCAGTGTCTGCTGAGGCCTGGAGAGTGTAACGTTTAGGTCCAGATGATAAAGATGAATAGTTCAAAAGGCTCAATAAAACAAAAGATTTATTAAATAAAACAAACTCAAGTAATCCACACGAAGAAAGGCAATGTGACAGCATGGATAACACAACAATACCGGACAACTGAATGGAGCACAAAGAGGAACTAAAATACACAGTGATGATGATGACCAGATAAAAAACAGGTGTGATGATTGAATGAATGTCAATGACTAATAATGTCTGGCAAGAAACTAGGAACAATATAAACAAAGGAAACAAGTAACTAAGGAATACAAACTAAAGGTCCTTGAAAGTGAAACTAAACACACAGATTGTGACAGCCGAGAAAATGTTACCTTGCTTGGATCATTGGAAAAATGTGTCCCTAACTTCTTTTCTGCAAAACTCTGAAAACGTAGCCTACATATTTGCTGCAGTTTCCAGCTAAAATGATCACTAAGTGAAACCCCAACAACTTATTTATTCCTTTTCAGACAAATGGTGATATTTACTTTATTAATGTACATTCTCTGTATTTAGAAAAAATACTTTGTGTTCATAAAATAAAATGATTTAAGCCATGCAGCGAATAATGTTAACCAATAGATAAATAGCTACTTGGGTGTTAAAAAAATTTGCATTCATTCAAGTGTGTAAGCTGACTTTTTAAAATTCAATCAGGTCATGATGAACAAAATCAAAGCCTGTTCTAATTTGTGCTTGTTGAATATCCTGTTTCACACAGAAATGTGTTCCACATTACAGAAGTGAACACTATTCACATTGACTGTTGGTGGTAAAGTTAGACAAGCCATGTGTCGGTTACAAACATTTGACAACTTCTTAACCAAGCCTAAGATGCTTTCTGCTATATTTTTAAGAGTGTTTTTTTTTAGTTAAAGATGGTATTTCTGCCTGGCCAAGACCCCTTTCTTACAATTGACTGCAAGCCTCACATTACGATCTGCCTCCATTCAACTAACACCCAATAAATTATACCAAGTCCCCACCCTGCATTTTTTTTTTTTGATAATCCGTTTAACTCGAATGTACGTCAAAATACAGAAGAAAAGAATGACCATTACAAATACCAACTTCATACATTCATCAATTATTTCCATATAAGTTATTAAGAATATTTTTATTTCTTTGAATGTTGTCAAGAGACTGCCAAAGCATCTCGTAAAATGTAAGTATGCCATTAAACAAGCAGTGAGCTGTTAGCTTTGTCGTGCGTAGGTTTACATGTGACCAGGGTTTTATATTGAAATTGTGAGGTTGCTGTTCCTCATTCCTGCGTTATCACAGTCATGTTACCTTCAGTGAAACTACTCGCGAGTGTGTTAATTCTGTTCAAAAAAAAGTATTGCAGCAATAGAGTGACTCATTTTCGACCAACTTGCGGTGCACCCTAATGTTGTTTAATTGTTTTGGTGGTGCTGTGTCCACTGAGACTGAAGAGTGGAGAGATTAAATGTCGCTGGAACATTCTGTGTGGAAATGATTCACAATAGTGGAATTCCCTGCTGCTGCAGAGCTTCTCCAGGAGTTTAATTGGCACATTTATCACATTGACAGAGACAGACAGAGGAAGAGAAAGAGAGAAGGTAGGATGTGAATACACCAACCTGAAAGTTCTACTCAACCCTGCTCGATCAACTGAATGTGTTATCATCACGTTTAATTCAGTCGTGTTGTTTTCGTTGCAGGCTTGGCTTTTGTATAGGCACGTAAGGTAAACTTCAGTCAGGTCTTGAATGTAACTCACTGCAAACAGTCTGGGAAAGGTGTGACATTCTAAACCCTTCAACCAGCACATGCACACACACAAACACTTGCAAAAGGCCTTGAGCTGCAAACGGGATATAGAACATATGGACTCTAACTGCATGGCTTCCTTTCTCAACAGAGGCTGAAGACACACCACAGGAGGTGAACTCACTTTTGAAGATAAACAAAAACGGGCAGAAGGAGGAAAGAGTCAAAAATAAGGTGAGAACCAGAAGAAAGTATGTAAAAAGAGTACAGATATGCATACTCACCTAATGCAGTCTAGTGTAAGAGAGTGATGCTTGCTATTAGACATGGTTTTTGTGTTTATAAATGTTCACAACCATTTTTCAAAATTCATAGCACTGTGTTTTTTGCAGTTAGGCCGAAGGCATCCATTTTATGTTTTAGACTGTTCTGTTCAGAAGAACCTTTTCAGCCCAGGGAGACTTGATATTACACCTTGATTATTCTTGTTGTGTTACATACTTCTCAAATGCTCCCTGCAGTGGCACTTCCATTTCCCTGCTGGCCTTCCTGTAGAAATGCGGCTTGGGTAAATGGCACACATATGGCCCACTCTCTGGGGATACAAATTAAATGAGCGCCCCCTGTACTTCTTCAAATATATACATGCCGATTTATAGACCCGTAACAGTCTTCTGATGAACAAATCAATAGAGATTGACTGTGCATTTTTTTTAAGTCAAAGAGAGTGCCCTTGTGATGTGCTTTTCTTCAAGTAAAGGCAGCTATTTATACTATGTGAAAAAAATTTTAACTTGTTTTTAATGAAATTATTAAAATTTCTTTCTGATTCTGATAATTGCTTTTCATTGTCGCAGTTGAGCTGCAGCAATCCAAGAGAGCCCGCAGGAAGATGTTTAAACTTTTACTAAACACAGAGTTAAACAAAGCACTACCCTATAACACAACGTTAACACTAGACATGAACTGAGGAAAACCAAGGGCTTAAATACACAAGGAAAGCTAACCTACAGAAAAGGGAACAAGTGTGAACTAATAAGAAACCATGAAAACTAGCTAGCGCAGGAAAATGTGAACAAAGGAAACAGGAACTACTAAACCAAAACACAATGAAACCAACATGTGACATTCATATTGTACTTTTATATTTTTATCAAGTACTGAATTAACTAATTATTGAAATTTATTTTTGTTCCTACCCACTAAGATTAAATATTAGATTAGATATATAAAACAGTCTATTTAATTTGTATGGAGTTTTAAAGAGAATATAGAATTTTATGGAGACTTGTATTGTTCCCCACAAAATGATATGCAGATGTATTGTTTTCCAGTTAAAAACTAGGGCTGAATAAATAATTGCAATTAATCCAATGATTTCTGACTTTAGACATTCAGTAAATTTAAAGAATCTTTGAATATTAAAGAAAAAAAAAATACTTAAATACCTAAAATACTTAAATTTGGGATTTTTTTTCAAATTGTATTAATTTAACAGCAAATCTCTTTTTTTCCCTGACAACTAGGCCTATTAAAGAATAGGGGCTGTCTATCTATCTATCTATCTATCTATCTATCTATCTATCTATCTATCTATCTATCTATCTATCTATCTATCTATCTATCTATCTATCTATCTATCTATCTATCTATCTATCTATCTATCTATCTATCTATCTGTGAAAATGGTGATGTCATGCGCATGCTATATTAGGTGCAAAGTAATGGGTTAACTGGTTATAGTGCACATCTCTAATCCTCTAGTTCATCACGTACCGCATGGACTGTATATCAGCAGACTACACACTCTTCAAGTTACTGTCTGGCACTGTTCTCTTTCCTATCACTGACATTCTCCTTTTGCCTCCTGAGTCTTAATCCCCTCCTCTCTCTGACCCCCTATAAGGTACAGTTTAGAGCTCCTGGAAGACTAACAGGGGCTGCAATCTAAAATGGCTTTTAAACACAGACTCCACCCTGGATTTGTGCTGATGTTCTTGTCTGGCTGTAAATGTCTCTTTATGCCTGATTTACAGAGGCAGGCAGTGTGCTGAAGCTGTCCCCTCTCTGAACTCTTAACTTTAGATTCCCCAATCTAAAGTTGCCTTTGGTGAGCTCAGCTGAGCTCCATCCTTGATTTTAGGAGTGGAACGTTTCATTGCTGTCGGATCGCTCTGTATCTCAGTTGCCTAGCAACTGAGGTCCATTGCAAAGAGGCATGGGATGGTCACTAGGTTTAATGAAACAGTCTTTACAACAGATTACCAGGAGCTGAGGATGAAGATGCGGCTCCTCTCATACAATTGGAGCCTGGATTCTCATTATTTTGTGGAATAAATGCAAAATCCTTTGTCTTTTACTATAAGCATAACTGTATTTACAATTACTTATTCCCTTGTTTATCTGATGAGGCTTTTGTCAGTGGCATACAAAATAACGCATTAAATGTTGAATCATAATGTAATAATATCAGGAAATATAACTGTAGATAATGTGATAAGAGTGAGGACATTGTCAATAAACATTTGGATGAGAAGATACTGACTACATTTGCGAGGTTAATTGGTTTACAAGTAGGCCGTGATGAACTTGTTTTCCTTCAGGCCAAATTGGAGTTTCCTCTCATTTTCAGATGTATATTGAATTAGATTCACATTATAAACACTCAAGGTAAGGTGTGTCTTGTGAATGAGGAGTAAATAATGCTAGACGTTGTTCAGGGATAGGAAGTTTCTGCTCTCTTTCGGCGAGCTGGGCTGCAGTGTGACAGCTGATAGTCTAGCGCCCCCTGCTGTTTGCTCTCAGCAGCAGGCCTTTGTGTTTAACCTCACTGCAGGAGGGCCAAGTGAGATTAAAAACTCCAACACACCACAGGCCTTTGAGCTCACAGTCATGACAGGTGTGTCACAGTGTGCTATCAATACCCATATGCCAGAGCTACATAAATATGCAAGAAGCACTCACATGCGTTTGCTTTTTCTATCGTTGTGGGGACTATTATAGTTATCGATATATCATTTTTTATGTTAAGCTACTATATTCTACCCTGTTTAATTTAAATTATATTAATTATTGATGACTATAAAACTGTGAGGAAATCGAAACACAAACAAACAACAATATTTATATAGCTTTTTAGCCATTAAGTGTGTTGTCTGTTGTGGCCTTCTCTGAGAGACTTTAAATGAATATGGAGTTTGTTTGGACAGTTTGGAGGGAGGTGAGGTACAGAACCAGTGATTCTTGGACAACCAGGTTCATAAGAAAAGACCATGCTGATTTACCAGCAAAGCACATCTACCCAGCCTAAACAATGATCTATCACTGTCACTATAGTCAAGGATTTCAGATTTTTAAATGGTATTGACCACCAAACAAGGTAATGCCCTTACAAGGGACCACTTTCTAAGAATAGAGTAAATATAATGTGGGGAAAAAGAATAGACTACTGCTCAAAAGTTTGGATTAAGTAAGGTTTTAAATGTGTTTGAAAGAAGTCTCTTATGCTCACCAAGGGTTGCATTGATTTAATAAAAAAAGAGCAATATTGTGAAATATTACAATTTAAAAAGTCAGTGGCGCCTGCACAATCCAAACATGTTTGAGAGGGAAACAACAAATTGAGTTTTTTTTTTTTTTTTTTTAAGTAGTAATTGGTACTCATGGTAATGGATAGAAATGATGTGGAGTAAAGAGTACAATATTTCCCTCTCAAATGTACTTGAGTAAAGCCACGAGTACTCCCCAAAAATGATACTCGAGTAAAGTACAGATCCCTCATAATTGTACTTAAAGTACTGTGCTCAAGTAAATGTACTCCATTACTGTCCAGTTAACTGAAAACTCTTTAATCCATAAGTATTTTGACTGAATTTGTTCTTCTTTTTGTGTCAGTGCAACAGGCCTGAACCGGAAGCCTCATGGCCACCAACAACACTGCTAGCATTGCTCAGGCTCGCAAACTGGTGGAGCAGCTCAAGATGGAGGCCAATATTGACAGGATAAAGGTGAGAAGAATATGAACCCAAATAAACACATCAATTTGATTAGAAGTGAAAATACAGTGAGCATTGTTTGGTGACTGCATGTGTTTACATGCATCAACATTAGGTCTCCAAAGCAGCAGCAGATTTGACATCGTACTGCGAAGCCCATGCTAAAGAGGATCCTCTGCTGTCCCCTGTGCCTGCGTCCGAGAACCCCTTCAGGGAGAAGAAGTTCTTCTGTGCCATCCTGTAACCAGCGCTGCCCATCCATGGACTCACCTGCTCCCTCTGGGATACACTCATGGACATAAAACATGTTGATCTTTTAAAAGGGCTGGAGAAATGCAGTGGAGAACCCTTAAATTCTCCCAGCTCACTATGAGCCTCCATTACAGCCACTGACTCCACCTAGTGGCCTTGAGATCCAAAGCTGAGCATGGTTAAAAGAATGTGTTGAAATTCGCGAGGGAACGTAGCAAAAAAACATGAGTGACTGTCATTGTAGCAGATCAGCCAGGATGTGTCGTGAAAATATTCAAGTATTCAAAGGTTCCTGTGGTTCTGATGAAGTATTCAAATTCTTTTTCTTTATTGATTTTTAGTGGGCTGCGATCGTAAATCTGATCACTAATCGTAGAACCCATGGATTACTAAAGTTGCTGTGTTATTTCTGTATTTTCTTTTCAGTTTCTTTTTTTCCCCAGATGGAATTGCTATATGCCTACCATTTAGGTAGCGTTCTGTAGCCTAGCGTTCTTGTGGAGACAGAAAAACTTTAATTTAAAGAATGACAGTTTAGTGAAATTTTGTAATGAATTCATGCTTGGACAGATATTCTTCAAATGAAATACTTATCTTTTAGATGCTGATAAAAATGATTTGTCTGTACAGAAAACTGATTTTCTTTTTTTTTTTTTTTTGGGGGGGGGGGGGGGGGGTCTTAAGCATAGTTCTCTTTTTACTCTTTGTACAAAAATGTTAGCAAGCTCAACTGTGATGTGCTATATGTTTTGAATATTTGTGGTGATATCAATAATAACTGCATGAAGCCTGACACAGTGCCGTCTTTTTTCTTTCAAATGGTTACCAAAAATCCTTTACCTTAAAGGAGTAGTTTAAAAACTTTTGTCTTTCTTTCTTCAGTCGAAAAGAAATGAAGGTTTTTGATGAAAACATTCCAGCATTTTTCTACATATAATGGACTTCAATGGGAACCAAACGGTTCAAGATTCTAAAGACACTTTCAGTACAAACTGCAAACTGTTCAAAGGGATTTAAACGATTCCAGACGGTGAATAAGGGTCTTATCAAGCGAAACAATCGCTCATTAAAAAAAAAACAACTACTAAGTTTCAGTTTGAGTTTTATAAGTTCAATGCTCGCCTTGCTCTGTACTGCAATGCACGTAACACCTTCGTGACTCTCCAGTCCTGTTCGAACTCGTTCATCAAAATGAACAAATCTTTTACCGAGTCAGTTCGGTCAATTCGCTCATTTCGTTCATTGAATGAAGCAAATGACTCGGAAAAACATGACTTTAACATTATTTTTCTTAATTTCCATCACTGTTGAGGTCCCCAATTGGTACACAAGCTTATAAATCATACAGAATGTTTTTTTTTTTGTTTTTTTTTGGTGGAAAATCTAAAAATGCAGAAAGTTGTATGTGATAGGTGTCACGATCCACACACAGGAAACAAGGATTAAATCCAAGAGCAGTTGTTTATTTAAAGGGTAATTCAAAATCGTAAACCAGTCCAAGCAAGGGTCATAATCCAAAGGCAATCCAACATATACAGGAAACCAAAAACAAGACTCAAAGAAAACAGGACCTCAGAAGTGGCGTGATAATTGAAAGGACTCCATGGCACACACTGAAACAGACAGGGTATATATACACACAGGGAATGACAATGATAATGGTGAATTGGCAGAGTGCAATGATCAGTGATGAGGAACAGCTGAGTTCAATGATAAAACAAGGATCGTGGGAAATGTAGTTCCAGAAGTGAATGACACAGTGGGGAAGGAGGACATCTAGTGGACAACCAAGGGAACACATCCAGACACTGTGACAATAGGTAGGGTTGGTGTAAGGGGATATAATATACAGTATAAAGTGTGGATGTCTTAAATATCTTAAAGAATAACACAAAGTTCATTTGAAGTTTAGAAGCATTAGAGATTATCAATTAATAAATAGGCTAAAATGCAAGTGCATGAAAAAAAAATACACATAGAAAATAAATACAAAATAAATATAAAACATAGCCTACATATGCACACCCCAAATTCATTGCTGTTTTCTTCTTTTACTCGTATTTCACCATTCTGTATTAACACATCAATTTAATCAGTCATCAGACAGATGACACGGTGACTCAGAATCAGATCCAGACCCAGACACAGAACTACATAAACAAGATGTCTCATTTCAAGGAAATAACAAACTCATCACGTCAGCTTCCTGCGTAGACTCACACAGGTCTCACACAATGTGTGATGTATTGCTATGGAGACCGCGCTGACGACATCATTCTGCGAACACATGCAAGGATCAGAGACAGACTTCTGTTCTGAAACTATAGACATGAACTATGAAACACTTAAACACCAATATGGGGTATTTATTTATTTCAAAGTATCTCCGGTAGCTATAAAAGAAAAGTGATTTTTTCCTCTTTATTTATTTATCTATTTAATGCACGTCTTATAAATGATATATTAAATAACCCCCTCTTTAGAGCAACCTTATCAAGCAAAATAATTATATTTCTGGTTTTAATTGGCCTATATTTCCGCAGAAGCACTTTCTTTCAATGACAGTAGGTGGCAGTATAATATCACATGTAATTTCTTGGGTTTCACCGGTTCACTTCTTCAATCTGCACCTGCAATTTAAAACATTAACACTAGAACTACCGGAATTCTATAAATTAGGTTTTAATTAAAAAGGTTCGGGAGGAGCAGGTGCAGATAATTAACCTAATCAGCACAAGTGGAGATCAATCAGTAATCAACTCAGGACAACATAGCTAAATAACAGTAGAACCCACATTTGTTCCTTGTCAGTTAATCAGCATCACACCTCCACCCCATCTCCTCACTTTTAGTTCCATCTTCCATTTACTCTTACCAACGGGGAATACTCTAGGTTCGGGCAGAAATTCTGAGCTCGGAGCCCTCCACCTGGACAGCACGACAACAAGTATGCATAACCTTAACAATAAGATGTGAACTTTATAGAAGTTATTGATGATTTTGTAAGTTATTGCGTTCTAATATGTATTTCAATGCATTGGTAAAATCATATGAAATGCCCAAACTGGCCAAACAGTCATTCTGACGTCACGGGAAATAATAAACTGCGAGAAAACGAAGATTTAGTAACCAATATTTGTTTTAGTGAACAAAAATATCAAGCTGCATAACAGTCCACACTGTGCTGTCTCTCGTGGTTTCATGGTGCTCTGGTATAGGTGGATTTAGTGGGACAGCTTTATCCAGTGTCAGGCTAAGTGCTCTTGTGGCACAGCTGATGATCCAGGATTTTGCACTGTCATCAAAAAATAAATAAATAAATAAATAATAATAAAAAAAATTATAGCCTAATTAGTTTGTGTTTTTTCTTGGAAAATGTATTATCAGGGCTAAAATTAGCCTATGTATGCATAAGAAACTCACAGCCTAAGGTACCTGGAACATCAGCAGATGGAATGGCAGCATGCAGAATTGGAAGTGTCCGGCCGGATTTTTTTACACAGGGGAATTATCTCCGCATCAGAGCCTGTCAGATTGAACTTTCAAGAGACTTCACAATTGGAACCTGCTCCTCTGAATCTTAAGTGTGTCAAACTGACATATAGAAAAAATAAATGCAGCCTATTTCCCTTTTTATGAGTGTGAAATTAAAATTAATTAAAAATAAAGAGATCATTCTGTGTACATGCATGGGCCTTTGTAAATGTCACCCATCCTACCCAATCCATCTAGATGATAATCTCATTGTCACAGATGGAACAGGAGTCAGACAGGTGGTAAGTGAAATAGTGTTTATTTCCAGGTTGCAGATTCAGACAGAGATATGGTGAGGATGCAAGCAAAAAATATTCAGGATGGAACGCTGAAGGATAACCAGACTCTTTGTTTACAGATGCAAATTGAGAGTCACTGGGAACAGACTGATGACTGGAGACTGAACTGCCATTTGAAGGTAAGCAGGTGATCGATGGATGATACACAGGTAATTAGCGTGATGTAGAGACAAGACCAGAGGGAGTGTGTGAAGAGGAGTTAAATATATAGGGAGGTGAACGAGTGGGAGGAGTGAGTGAAGCTGGTGGAATCCTGACACTCATGAAATACAGAAAATTTTTTATGAGCTTCATTTTTATGAAAGACTAATCATTGTGTGGGTAATTCATGTATTTGTCTCAGTAATGAGTGATTTTCTCCAACAAAGTATTTTTTTTGTTTTGACTTGATGTGTGTGTGCACAAACATTTAAGTAGTATGTTGTACCTATTTGTTTTATCCGGGTCTTGACATATTGATTATCTGCCCTGTCAGTGTTTTTAGCTTTCTGTACATTCTACCCGCAGTGCTCCTCCGACCACAAATCTTAAATGTCAGAAAATGTCAACAAATGTCAGCATTTGTATCTTCGATCCATGACAAAGAAATGTTAAATAAATCTGTTTGTGTTTAATCAAACATGTAAAAAAAATACATCAGGCCATGATAAAGATATGCATAATAAATATATCACGTTAAATGTTTGTCTTGGCAGTTGGCTGCACGTTGGTTTTTATCCTTTTCACAACAAATGGCAATTTGGTTCTACCTAGACCTATCTACATTGCATGTGAACTGCTGTGATAGAAAGTGTTTTTGTGTGTGTGTGTTTTTACAACCAAGAAATGAAGCAATTGATAGTGTTTATGTTGGATTGAACAAAGGCATGAAAGATGAATCTCTAATTCTTGGTCACTACTCGGATTGATGCACATCAGAGGTGGACAGTAACAATTTACATATTGCTTGAGCACTTTTTGAGTATCTGTAGGCTACTTTACTTGAGTATTATTTTTTTATGGAAACTTTTTACTTATAAATAACAAATATCATACTTTTTACTCCACTACAATTCTGTCAAGGTCAGTAGAAAGTAACGTCAGTCAGGATGATTTTGGTTGCAGGGGTTGCATTTTGGTTGGAAATCAAGGAAAGATCATCTGACACTGATGCTGAAAATGTAACTTTGCATCACTTATATTTTAAAATATATTAAAATAGAACATAAGACCTATATAAGATGGGCTATAGAGGAATATGAAGTTTGAGTGTAAGATATTTTGCATAATGTTGGTAACCACACAGTTTTGGTGACTATTGACTTCCTTTTGGGGGACAGAAAAAACACTCACAATAACTTGTTTTATGTTTCACAGAAGAAAGAGAGTAATAGCCTACAGGTGTGGAACTTTTGGTTGTATTCGCATCATATTTATTCAACACAATTGACAGAATAAACGTGATTGATGTGGTCATCCATGTGTCATCCAGTGGACAGAAGTGTGAGCTGTACTCGCTCTAGGACCCGGTGTCCCTTCTTGCGTATTTTGGCCACTTGATGCTCTCCGGGCTTACGCCTATATGGACTCATTCAAGCAGATGTAGCACTCAGAAGAACAACCTTGGATATACAGAGGGATTGTGTGTCTTTGCGACCAGGGGATGCCTCTTGATCATGTTTCCGTAAGGATTCACAGAAGAAGGCATATTGCACGTATCTGCACTCTCACAGTGCCAGTCTAGCCTGCATGCATTTGCGCGCGCCTTGGGAGTTTCCGTGAATACGGAAGAGAAAGAAGCACGAGATTCTAACTTTTCATATTTCTTTTCCTAAAAGGAGCTGCACTGGTCAAACGAAGGTAATTTGTCGGATTTTTTAAAAATTTTGTTTGGTTTTGTAAAAGATCGATTCGTTTTCTAAAGCTGTGACCATCCAAACTTAGCCAAAAAGAGCGTGTCAGTCCTTATGATCGTTATAATTTATCTCTGTTTCATTGTAGAAGCACTGTAATTCTGGCTGTTATTTTAGCAATAGTTTCAGGATGTAAAACTTTTGAAGTCAAGACGATTGCTCCTTGCCTTGGTGTCTGTCTCCAGCTCATTGACATTAGTGCGCGCTCTGGGGACGCGCGTGTACACGTTGCCTAGCCTACTTTAAAACGCAAAAAGCTTAACGTTACTCGCGGAAATAAAACGTCACTGGAAGTTTTGTGTTGATTCTTTGTTATATAAATCTTTTTAACTGATGTTTTAGACTGAAATAACTTCTTTGGCAGGAAATACTCAACAATGAATCAGCGTTGGGGTCATTCGAATGGATTTCTAACCAACCTGTTTCTGCTGGTTTTATGGCGTTCATGGTAAGCAAAATAGACTTAGGTGTATCTCAGAGAAGTCGATAAAAAAAACTTAACTAGTATGATTGCCACCGTTTAAAATATAACAAATGTAGCCTATAATTAAAGTTTTGAAATGGATAACATTTTCGGCCATTATTTACTCGCCCTTTTGTTATTCCAACCCTGTAAGTTTTTCTTTCTCTGTGGAACATAAAATAATATATTTTGAGAAACGTCCCGTTGTTTTTCGTCCATGCAATTGAGGTCAAGTGTCACCAAAACGCAAAACTGTTTGGTTACCAAAATGTATTTCTTCTGTTGAACATAAAGGAAGACATTTTTGAGAAATGTTGGTAACCAAATAACTTTGGAGACCATTGACTTCCATTGTATGGATAAAAAATAAAACACGTCTTTCTCGTGACATTTCACAAAATATATTTTATGTTCCACAGAAGAAAGAAAGCCGTACTTATACACACATACTTATTGGGTGAAAGTAACATACACAATTTAATTATAATTGAAAGGAATGTTCCTGATTAAGTTTAAGTTTAAGACAACATGGTGATTACCACAGATAGTAATTTCGATAAAATGTTTAAGCTATAATCATCAAGGCAACTTGGAATAAAAGTAAGTCCATCTATTTATTCAATCTTCGAACCATTTGAGTAATCAAGACTGTTAGTAATATAGGCTACATTAAAATACACATAATTTATTATACATAACATACTGTAATACTAGTGTGACACAATCACTCACTAACTTGTTATTAGCAATTAGCTACTTATATTCATTTGTATGTAAATATGCACAAACCTACAGGGAATGGGGATATGAAAACTGGCAATTCAGAGACAAGAGACACGTTTCCTAAAAGTCTCATGTGTTTTGGTACAGCTGCCATGTTTGTGGTTTTGCCATATGGTGATCATCATCTCATAACTTCATTGGAAAAGAGCAAAGCTTTCTCTGTGTGCAACTCTGTGCAAGTATGTTTATGTAACAGACTTTTGTGATGTCAAATGTTTCTTGTGTAGTTCTGAGGCAGAAGTATCTGGCTCAGACGCCTTTAAAAACAACATAACCCTCTTCACGCGAATATTGGACCGGTTACTCGATGGTTACGACAACAGACTGAGACCTGGTCTGGGAGGTAAGAAAGTGTGTGATGATGGATTAGAGAATTAGATGAATGGAATTAGAGCTGTCTCAAATGAGGTTTTTCAATAAGCCTGTGCAAAGTTGTTGTTTTTACAATTACATGTACTTGATGTACTAATAAGCAAATGACAGTGATTGTTTTTTCTATTTAGGAATTTTATAAAAACTCTTGTTTTACTTATAACAGTCCAATGGATTTAGCACAACAGTGGGAAAAATTAGTATTTGGATTCAGTAAAATGTAAAATAATGTGTTAAGAAACATGATTCAGTGATTCAATGTTTATGACCTGATTTTACCACTAAACTAATCACACTCGCCTAAAGGATTATTAGGAACACCAAACTAATACTGTTTGACCCACTTTCGCCTTCAGAACTGCCTTAATTCTACGTGGCATTGATTCAACAAGGTGCTGAAAGCATTCTTTAGAAATGTTGGCCCATATTGATTGGATTGCATCTTGAAGTTGATGGAGATTTGTTGGATGCACAGCCAGGGCACGAAGCTCTCGTTCCTCCTTATCCCGAAGATGCTCTGTTGGGTTGAGATCTTGTGACGGTGGGGGCCATTTTAGTACAGTGAGCTCATTGTCATGTTCAAGAAACCAATTTGAAATGATTCAAGCTTTGTGACATGGTGCATTATCCTGCTGGAAGTAGCCATCAGAGGATGGGTACATGGTGGCCATAAAGGAATGGAAATGGTCAGAAAAAATGCTCAGGAATTGTGCGTGTTGTGGCTTCACAAATGCTTTGCTCCATACCTCGGTTGTAACGAGTGGTTGTTTCTCTTCTATCAGCTTGAATCAGTCGGCACATTCACCTCTGACCTCTAGCATCAACAAGGCATTTTCGCCCACAGGACTGCCGCATACTGGATGTTTTTCTCTTTTCACACCATTCTTTGTAAACCCTAGAAATGGTTGTGTGTGAAAATCCCAGTAACTGAGCAGATTGTGAAATACTCACACACCATGCGCACCAATACGCACCAACAACCATGCCACGCTCAAAATTGCTTAAATCACCTTTCTTTCCCATTCTGACATTTAGTTTGGAGTTCAGGAGATTGTCTTGACCAGGACCACACCCCTAAATGCATTGAAGCAACTGCCATGTGATTGGTTGATTAGATAATTGCATTAATGAGAAATTGAACAGGTGTTCCTAATAATCCTTTGTTTAACGAGGTGTTGATGACCTGAGAATACTCACTGAAGGAGAAGAAAACAAACCCATCAATCTCAGCTCCACTCAACAAACCCTGTTTGTGTATTCTGTCAGTTTTAATATATATGTGACCCTTACCATTGTTTGTACACTCTGAGCTTGGCAACATGAAAGACACCTTGGATCAAGCAATACCCACCATGAGGCAAATAGATTTCTTGTGAGTGTTTTCTTTTTAGATTCACAGAGACTAGCACACACATACACATACACTGGAGTCAGTGGACATGCAGTCGAGCTAAGAGCCAGGATGAAGTGTTGCGGTTCCTCTAATGATATGTCAAAGTAGTAGTTAGCTGAAATGAAACGTTGTACATCTTTTTTCACCTCCATATCATTTGAGCACTGAATTAATTTCCTTCATCTGTTGAACTCAAATGAGATCTTAGGCAGAATATCTGATTTTCTGTTTTTCAACCATTAAAGTGAATGCCGATTTATCAAGCTTAAAAAAAACACCCTCATGAAAGTATTCCACATGACTCATCGGCTAAAGCCAAACAACATATCTATATGAAGAGCAGGATGAAATTTAAGTTGTTGTTCACTGATAATCTTTATACAAAGCTATTATGGTTTTAGTGAACTTTGAATATAACACATGAGACCAGCATATGGAAGGCCATAAAAAATGTTCCTGGTTTATAATATAATTTGAACTTTCTTTTTGCTGTGTGATGTAGATCGAGTGACAGAGGTGAAGACTGATATCTATGTGACCAGTTTTGGGCCAGTGTCAGATACAGACATGGTAAGACATTCCTTTTCACACAACAGATGATTTCTTTTGTATAGTGTGAATCAAATATTTGAAAAAAAATATTTGTTATTGTCCTGTTGGTTATAATTGTTTATCTGTTCTTACCCCACACTTTGTTTTCTATCTGTTGTCTATTCATAGCATTTGGTGCCTGCTGCTGGCTAAAAGCTTTTCTCAGTACTCCTCTTTTTCACCACTTCACACTATCTGCTCTCAAATATTTAGAATAGAGAAAAAAAAGGTCAGATGGAAGAAAAAGGGTTTTCATTCATTCATTATTTATTTAGTGTCTTTTACTGTCCAGCTGAATGTTTTCTAAACCCCATTGAATGCTCTCACTATCCTCTTGTAGGGAAATCTCTGTTCGTAGAGACCATATTATGTCAGGGCGATCACACTAGGTATTTCTGTCATGTTTTTTTGGGTGCTCTTGGGAAATCATGATTTACCAGAGTACATTGCTTGAATCGCATGTCTCCCCGATTCTCCAGTCATCACTGTAGTACAGCTATTTAATATCCTATTGAGTAATGTCAGATTCTAGAGGGATTTGTATAATTTTGTAAATAATATGAAACAACACTGCACTATGTCATTTTTCTATGTAATGGCCTAATGCTACCATTCAAAAGTTTGTGATCGGTATACGATTTGAAAAAAAAAAAGTTTTTGAAAGAAATCCTAAAATTGTACCAATTTTTTTCCTTTTACTTACTCGTGCCCGTAGCAAGACACCTGTCAAGTTTGAAATCCGTCGGACTAATGTTTCGACAAATATGCGATTAATAGACAGATAGACATTAGACACACAGACAGAAAACTTTCTGAATATCTTAACAAATTATCAGACCTTAGTTTTAGAGTTCCACAATTCCATACATTATAATGCCTTAAAATAAACATATACTATAGAGGAACATAAAAGCAGGTTATTTTTTATTAGTCTTACTGTGCCACTCCCTTCAGGCCATGTGGGTATGATATGACAGAATGGAAAGTGACAAGACTTGTCTGTTTGCTTGAGGAGTTCTGTGGGACTCCTGCATAATGGTGGGTAATGTTGCAAGACGTTAGCAAGAATTTCAGGCAAGCTTACCTCAAACTTTGCCTGAGATAAAGGTTTTAGATTTTATAACAGTACTGGAATTAACTTAGTATGGTTTAACTAACCATAAAAGGTTTGTTCCTACTGAAATCTGATGGAAGAGCGAAAGGAAACGAAGCATCACAGATGGGTTCTGTGTGTGTTGCAGAGCTCCAGCGCTCCAGTGACAGCATGTACTGTCATATAATGTTATCTCTCCTGTATGAGTGTGGGAGTGCATAAGTATTTTCTTTTACGTACATAACATTGTGTTTTTCTGTCTCTGTGCTGCCATGGAAACTGGATGCCCGCCTTCACCCTGGGGGTCGATGCATGGCAGCATTGTGCCTGAGAGATTAGGATATAATGCAGTGATGTGAAGCTCTTCTGACACTTTGCCACTTAGTAGTACTATGGAGAGGGAGATAAAACACACACATTACACAGACAATGATCACATTGAGAGAACTGAAAAGTGGCTGGCCCTTGCTGAGGAAGTCCATATCAGTCTTAACTTTATACTTTTTTAGATGTATTTGAAAGATTTACAGTGACATCAAAAGACTGAGACTACATTTTGAAATAGTTCTGCATGGCTGCATTTATTGCATTGGTCAAAATACTGTACAAAATTATTAAAATTTAAAATAATCCTCCTTAAAGTACTGCTCACCGTGCTCTGTTATGGTGCGAGGGCCCTTTTTAATTACAGTTTAAAACAGCTTTCTGTTTAATGATGTTTCAAACTGTAATTGAACTGAATTCCAGCATCTTCAGTGTCACATGATCCTTCTGAAATATTTTTAATATGTGCTCATGAAACATTTCTTATTATTATCAATGTTTATAACAGTTATATGCTTAATATTTCTGACTTTTCTGAATTATTTGATAAATGGAAAGTTCAACAGCAGTTATTTTGAAATTGAAATAATTTTGTAAGATTATTAAGGTCTTTACTGTAAATTTGGATTAATTACATGCGTCCTTGATGCATAAAACTATTTAAAAAATCTATTCAGCTTATAGCATATTTTATAATAAAACATATTATTGAACTGAGAAAAAAAAGTAAAAATAAAACAATCATTTGACAAGTGGATTTAGACTTTGAATCAAAACACATTTTCTGTGTCAGGTATTACCTGATGCATATCAGCATTGACGAATGTCTTGCACTATTGCACTCTGATTTGCAAAAGCCTCTCTCTCAAAAGTCGCTCTCTGTTCTCAGGAATACACAGTGGATGTGTTTTTCCGTCAGCGCTGGACAGACGAGCGGCTAAAGTTTCACGGGCCAATGAACATCCTGCGTCTCAACAACCTGATGGCCAGTAAAATCTGGACCCCAGACACTTTCTTTCACAACGGCAAGAAATCTGTGGCTCACAACATGACCATGCCTAATAAACTGCTGCGCATCATGGAGAACGGCACTCTACTGTACACCATGAGGTGCCCTTAGATTACTACTTGTAATTTAGTTATCAATCAATAATAATTACTTGATATGCTGTGTAATTCATCAAGTCATTTACAATTAATTGCATTTATGTATATTCGCTAAAGAAAACCGCCAAATCAAGATAACTGAAATAGATTATTTTGGTATATAAATAAGTAATTGAATAGACATTACATTAAATGCATGCCATTAAAATGCATATCATTAAAACACATCTCAAGACCAAAAATCAGCTTTTGTTTGGGGTCAATAAGTTTTTTTGTTTTTTTTAATGTTTTTGAAAGTAGCCTCTTATGCTTGCCGTGAATTTTTTTGATCAGAAATACAACAAATCAGTAATATTGTGAAATATTATTATAATTTAAAATGTTTTCTTTTGTAATATAATTTAAAATTTAATTCATCGCTGTGATGCAAAGCTGAATTTGCAACAGTTGCCACACGATCCAATCAGTATCTGCTTAATATTTTGGAGGACATTTTTTTGAGGATTCTTATATGAATAGAAAGTTCAAAAGAACAACATTTGTTTGAAATAGAAATATTTTTGTCATTACTGACACCTTGGCTTTGATGTGTCCTTGCTGAATGTACTGTAAGTGTTCATTTCTTGCAAATAATAAAAAAATAAGAAAAATCTTACTTACTGACTTCAAACTTTTGAATGGTAGTGTTCATTTTACAGTATTTCAAGCTTGAATTGCTCTAATGCTGGGAAAATTCATTTTTATACAATTTACGATTTTGATATACTACAGTAATTTAATGTATTTAATTGACAACCCTATTAACACCACATGACTTTGAGGGGTGACTGTTGTGTAATGTGTGTGCAGGTTGACAGTGCAAGCCGAATGCCCAATGCATCTTGAGGACTTTCCAATGGATTTCCATTCCTGTCCCCTGAAATTTGGCAGCTGTGAGTGACATTGTTAAACCTTCATTTCATTCCCAGTGGTGCTTAATATATGTCTCTGTGCTTTGGGTTTTAGTTTAATATATATATATATATATATATATATATATATATATATATATACATATATTTCTCCTGTGCTTAGATGCTTACACTTTGACAGAGGTGACGTATGTTTGGACACGCAATGCCACCTTATCGGTGGAAGTAGCTCCGGATGGATCTAGACTTAACCAGTATGACTTAATGGGACAGACTGTTGCAAAGGAAACCATCAAGTCCAGTACTGGTAAGATGTTCACAAGCAGACACAAAAACATCTGGATTCATCCAGTCACTTCCTATCTCTTACAATATGTTTCTCTTCTACCGTATATAGGTGAATATACAGTGATGACTGCACATTTCCATCTAAAGAGGAAGATTGGATACTTTGTGATCCAGACATATCTGCCTTGCATAATGACCGTCATCCTATCCCAAGTCTCTTTTTGGCTCAACCGAGAGTCCGTCCCTGCACGCACAGTTTTTGGTGGGTGAGCAGTTGTTGTGTGCATTAAATTGTAATGAGAACATAATGTTGAATTTAGCAAGCTGATTTTGTTTTTCCAATTAAATTATTGATGCAGTCATGGGTAGAGAAGGTGTTGTGTGTGTAATTCTTTTTATTTGCTCTCTTGCAGTTTCTGAACATAATCTGAACTCTAGGGATGAAGCAGATGGAGATAGGAATAAAATTGTGTTTTTGAATGTATTCAGTGGGAGGAAGCCATAGCATGCGAAATACACATTTAAATTAAACACACAGGGGTGAATAGATGCTGGAATAGACGCTTTCTACATATGCTTGGTTTTTTTCGTGCTCAATTCACTAAAGGAATTATCGAAATTAGGTAAACACTCATGAATTGCTGAATTCACAATTTTAACACCACAATTTTACATCTTGGATTTGCTCGGTTGTGAGGGGATGTAGCAAATTACCGCAATATGATACAATTTACTGGCACTGTTCAGCATCACTGAACTACTGGGATCCAGACAGGCACCTTAAGTGGCTTTTTTGAAATGCTGGTTATATTATCTTTTCCATCATTTCATCATCATTTCATTAATCAACGCTGCTATGATCATTAAAAAAAGCCATCCCTCTTGAGTTTGTTGCATTAAATTGTGAATAAGGTGCAATTGATTTTTTTAAGAAAGCCAAAAAATGATAAATTGATAAAGCTATGCTGAAAATTTAATTATGCAGCGCGATGCCAGTGCAGACAGCACACAGTTCAACTGGATTTAGTTATTTGAAAGCATGGCAAAATAAAAGCATGACGGTTTAACGCTTGAAAATGGAGAAATTGTTTTACATATAAAATATAGATATATAAATATATTTAAAAAATGTTATATTCATATTGAATGGGTCAAAAAGAGTAGGAATGTGGATAGAGAGAGTACACAATTGTTTTTCCCCAAATCCTTCCGCCATAACAGGATGATTCGCACTCTTCAGAGTAAAAAGTATTTCATACCCAGAGGCTGCAAAAAATAATTACGATTGCTCACAAAAAAAAAAAAACAGAAGACCATCTATATAAAATGAGGACAGGAGGTCCACTCGGGGCAAATAACTGACTGCTGAAATGAACAAAATTTCATTAGCCCAGGGCATTTGTGATTACATGTGTACATCTGTGCGGTCTCTTCCACTAATGAGCGAACGGCATAAAGGCTGGCAATTATCTGCAGAGAGGCATGCCGTGCTAATGCGGTATCTTAATAAACAGCAATCCCTGAGCCCTGTTGTTCTTCTGTTCCAGGTGTGACTACAGTGCTAACGATGACCACTCTGAGCATCAGCGCTCGAAACTCTTTACCAAAGGTGGCCTACGCCACAGCCATGGACTGGTTTATTGCTGTGTGCTACGCGTTTGTTTTCTCAGCTCTCATCGAGTTCGCCACTGTAAACTACTTCACCAAGCGCGGCTGGGCCTGGGATGGAAAGAGCATTGTCAGTGATAAGGTAACTATGACAACACAGACCTTGCTTTGATTTTGGAGTGGAGCGTATCTGGTGGCTTTGATTATTGTCATTGGGGAGTGTTATACAGATGAGGGAAATCAATACTGTTAATTCAGTACCGTTAATATCATCATTTTTTCCTAATTGAACATTGTCTGAAATTACGTCTCTTTTTTTATATATTAACGACTCCGACTCTTTCCCCGCCTGCGTTTTCCTTTAAAAAAAATGTTGCCAGCCACCACAAGCATTTTTAATAATTTTCACAAAAATTGTATGGCCCTCAGAACATGAAATTTATCAAAAGAAAGAATCAAACCTCTACTTTTAATTTACAACATAAAAATAATTTTGTTTTGTTTTTAGCAACACTTGAATGTGGGTAAGTTTCATTTAAAAAGCACTATAGTTTATAGTTATAGTTTATTTAGCTAGTTTACCCATGCATATGATTACATGACATGGAGAGATTAAGTATCACGAGTTAGGGAAGGATGGAACGGGAGATTGACAGACGGATCGGTGCAGCTTCAGCAGTAATGCGGTCGATGTACCGGTCTGTTGTGGTGAAGATGGAGCCGAGACGCAAGGCGAAGCTCTCGATTTACCAGTCAATCTACGTTCCTACTATGGTCACCTATGGTCATGAGCTTTGGGTCATGACCGAAAGGACAAGATCCCGCATACAGGCGGCCGAAATGAGCTTTCTCCGCAGGGTTGCAGGGCGATCCCTTAGAGATAGGGTGGGAAGCTCGGGCACACAGCTCAGGGTAGAGCCGCTGCTCCTCCATGTCGAGAGGGGTCAGCTGTTCCAGATGGCTCCTGGATGCCTTCCAGGCACGTCCCACTGGGAGGAGACCCTGGGGAAGACCCAGAACATGCTGAAGGGAATTTGTCTCTCGGCTGGCCTGGGAACAACTCAGTGTCCCCCCAGAAGAGCTGGAGAAAGTGTCTAGGGAGAGGAAGTCTGGGCATCTCTGCTTAGACTGCTGCCCCCGCTACCCGGCCCGGATAAGCGGAAGAAGATGGATTGATGGATGGATGATTACATATGATATCACTTGTTTCTGCGTCTTCTTTGGATTTGTTTTGATCAGGACATTCAGTACTCTTTCAGAAGATGTGTAGTAGCCCTCTAAAATCTGTCAATGGCAGGGAAAGAGTTAATATAACATTTAGCTTGATATCATTGATTGAATATATGTATAACAATGTGTTAACTAATTTCTTCTGACTTCAGAAAAAGGAGGTGTCTGTTATGAAAAAGAATAACGCATATGCAGTCGCTGTGGCAAACTACGCGCCCCATATTACGAAGGACTCGGCTCTGCCCACCGTCTCTAAGAGCGCCACAGCGGAGCCCAGTAAAGCTCAACCGGTGGCTAAAGAAGCAAAGAAGACCTTCAACAGTGTCAGCAAGATTGACCGCATGTCCCGCATCATCTTTCCGGTGCTTTTTGGCAGCTTTAACTTGGTTTACTGGGCCACATACCTCAACAGAGAACCTGTTATTAAGAACATGGTGCCCTCCCTGTGATCCATTAGCTATCCTTCACAATATGCTACATACATACAAATTATCCTAAATTAACCATATTCTTTCTATCTATCTATCTATCTATCTATCTATCTATCTATCTATCTATCTATCTATCTATCTATCTATCTATCTATCTATCTATCTATCTATCTATCTATCTATCTATCTATCTATCTATCTATCTATCTATCTATCGATCTATAGATCTATCTACTGTACCTACTGTACCTACTGCCAGGACAATTTTAAGAGAGCATCTTAGCATGGGACCGATTCACAGCTTTATTTTTATATGTTGTTGTGTGATTTTCTGAGAATTTAACTGATTGTTTTTCCTTGCCATTTTATGCAGTGTTTACAGGCATTTTCATACAGACCTCATATATGTTTTCTAAAAAAAAATATTTAACTGTATTTGTGTATTATATATTTATAATATGTCAATATTTGTCTGTCAGTATTTTGGCTAAATTGTGAATTAAGCTCACAGGTATCGTGCATCAAAAACATGGTGTTTAAAATGAAAGCCTGTACAAAATATGATTGCTGTGTTGTTTTGTTAGAGCTGCACTACAGTATCTGTGAAACAGATCACTGCACTTTTATATTGACTGATGTAGCATTTCAAGTCAATTAGATATGGCACTTTTGTTTGCATCATTGTAGATCGCATATTGTCTTTTTCCACACAACACACCTGTGCATCTAGTTCTCAGCCATGTGCAATTTATCATCAGTAAAAGCACACACCCACACATGGGGTTAAAGCTAAATAATTCAATGATTTTGTCTGAAGCACCTTAACGCACTTGTGGACATTTCGATTCGTGAGCTCAGTCTTAAGTGGAACTAGCACAGCTTTTCAGTCATTTCTGTTTCTTTTGTACACATTTTTGTGGAAAATGCTGTGGGAATTGGTCCAAATAGTTTGGGCTAATTTGCTTGTTAGGTTATAATGAGAGCAATATGTTGTTCTCACTGTATACGTAACTCAAATTATGGCCACTCTCTGATACTCACATTAGCCTAATGTTGCAGCAGTGATGACATGATGTTGTTAATATGGTATTGCCAGTACACGTTGATTGTTGCTTCTGGATTACCACAGATAAAGGTTGTAATGGGCTTCTTGGTATGATATACACCTAATGATGCTGTGAAAATAGCAATCAAAATGTACTGTTCACTCAATATATCATGTGTCAAACAGTTTAGAGTTTTCATTACCAACATCAACAATCCTGACAAGTATAAATGCTTGAACTAAGTACTGTGGGTTTACTTTTAACAGCTTTTCAATTTGCCATACTGTTCTCAGTTTTCTGCCTGGCCAAAGACAGCTCTCCTGTTGACTGAAATAAAGTGTTGTCATTGTCATAGGTAACATGGCTCAGTTACTCTCCTTTTGTGTGGGTGGTCTTTTGCACTGTGCCACTCAAAAATGTCCTCTTTTTCTGAAGAAAAACATCAGTGTCACTGAGGTCCTTTTATTAATATTTTGAATAAAATTGTAATTTTATATTTTCTTATTTCTCCAGTAGCACCTTATTGCAGTACACAAGATTCAGGGGGCGGAGTTGGATCCAAATATAAGGGGTGGAGATGGGTTGGATTAGGGTTGGGGTTAGGGATCAGGGGTCGGAGATGGGTAGGTTTAGGTATAGAGAGCCTAAGTCCCGCCCCTCCGCTTCCGGCTTTTGGGACCATATTTCGGAAAAAATATGTATGGTAGTCAATGGCGAGAAACAACTTATCTTTTTATTCCGTCTGAACTGTGCTCTGAATTACACATATGATGTTTGTCAAATAAAAGATAATTCTGAAAGTCAAAAACGTCACCGTTTGTCATAAAACAGAAGAGTAACTTTTAGTTTTATGTGAAAATCGTTCAATGAACTACATCTCCCGGGAAGTGAAACAACGAGCAAGATCCGCTGCTCGTGTGTGTGTAGTCTGGTACAAAACACTCAGGCATGACGGCGTAACGTTACAATTATAATGTAAGACTATAGAAACAGTGACAGACATTAGCCTCAGTAAAGTTAGCTTCATTCATTGAGAGAAAATGTGCGCCTCTGGGGTTTGTAGTCTTTGTAATTACGTATTTTCACAGTCTTATACCTCAACGGTTTCACATCAAACTGCGACTTTCTTTACTTTAAAATGTATCTTTTAAATTGACAAACATCATATGTGCAATTCTGGGCACAATTCAAACGAGATCATAATATTTGTTGTGTCTCGCCATTGACTACCATACAATATTTTTCCGAAATAAGGTCCCATGGTGGTCGACCGGAAGGGGAGGGACTTAGGCTCTCTATATGCAAGATGTGGATCCAACTCCTCCCCCTGGATTTCATGTTCTGCATCTTTTTCTCACAATAACCCTTAAAGGTATAGTTCACCCAAAAATTAAATTTCAGTCATTCATTAGTCACCCTCTGCGTTTCAAACACGTAAGACCTTCGTTCACCTTCGGAACACAAATATATTTTTGATAAAATCCGAGAGCTTTCTGACCCCTCCATAGACAGCAACGCAACAACCACTTTCAAGGTCCAGGAAGGTAGTAAAGACATCGCAAAAATAGTCCATGTGACTAGTGGTTCAAACTTGATTGTACAAAGTGAATAGAATACCTTTTGTGTGCAAAAACAAAACAAACATAGCAATTTCTTCAGTTCCACTTTGTAGAATAAAGGTTAATTGCACTCACTGTATTTAGCCATAGCCATTGAAGATTAAATTATTGTTGTGCAAGAAAAAATATACTGGCACTGTTACACATCTTGGATTAGCTACCCTGATTGAGGAATTCTAAGAAGATTGATGTCTAACTTTTATAAAATTAAATGAGGAGAAGGGTAGTGAATGGTCACTAAAGACCCGAGGTATGCGTTTAAGGGTTAAACTGAATTAAAGATTTGGGGAAAAAATGTGTTTTTGTCATTTTAATTAGATTTTTATATACATCCCTATGCAGTTTTTATTCATTTGTATTTCAGTTTTAGTTAGTGCATCAAGTTAAACTAAATAAAAAATGTGAAATGCTGCCTTGGCAAATATAGCTGAAATAAAACACGTTTTTAACATTTTATTTTGATTCAGTGAACATTTAAAACAAATGTAACAAAAATAGTTTTTATGCTTTTGTTTTAGTTAACTAACCACAGTCTCATTCAGTGGAATGGCATTTGCGAGCTGACGTGGCACAAGTCAATACACATTGATAAGTTCCCTGTTCCAGCTGCTTCTTTTATCGCCCTGCTTTTAAAAGTCTGCATTTCTTGTCAAATCCACTAGCCTCCAATCCATATTGTCTTCCTGCTTTTCATTCCCTTTTCAATCCGTCGCTCTATTCTGTCTGAGAGCTTTTTATATAGCTGACTCCGCTTTGACTAAACAGCAGAATTTGAGATTAGTAGCGTTGAATAGAGAACCGGCAGCCATGTGTGCATTTATCTAAGATCTTCCTTTAATAGCATAACAGCAGCGCTCCCAGCTCATCTCTTTTGGTTATGGAAGCAGTATCTGCCTTTATGAGATACAGCTATCGATGCACATACAGCTAAACAGAGAAAAAGAGTCCTCCATCAAAATTAACCTCCCCTCACTCCTTTGCACCATATGAAAAGCATATCTTTGGGTACAAACAAGCATCTGTCAGAACAGATGTGTCCACTTGTGCGTACAATCATTACGCACACAGACTTGACCCCAAGGGGGGGGAGGGGGAGTGGGGAGTGGGGAATAGTATCCACAGAAGTGTGTGTTTGAAATGTGATTGCTTGTGGCTGAAGCCATTTATTGCCAAACACTGCTTAGCATTTGCAATGGATGCTTCAGCTAACAATGCGCATTGTGATTAGAAAAAGATGATAAGAGAACAAAACTAAATCATTCATACTAATATGGTGTTTACTTCACCTCTGGAACCTGGAATTGGAACCTCTGGATTTTGTGTCGAGCATGATTGAACATGATGTGTATGTAAAGCTGCAGCTCCAAATTGTAATTGTTTAATGAGAATGCATTTCATTGTTTCCTAATTCCAGACTGACAATGTCTCGACACTTTCCTTTCAAGAACTGATTTGTTGTCTCCTGTGATAAATTAACAATCGGAGAGAGAACAAACAACATGGTGGCATTTATGTACTACAATGGCAATTCAATAGGAATATAGGACTGCAGCAATTTTTTTGCACATACTCTTTTTACAGTATACTATAATCTATAGTGTCTGTAATAATTTTCCCAAACTATTAAAATGTGTGTTCTGTATATAATAAAATAAAGTAAAATATTAGATGGGGAAAAAACTGTTGAAATACTAAAATTTAAACAAAATTATAAAAGCTAAATAGAAATAGTTTTTAAAACATAACAAAAGCACAATGACTAAAACTTAAAATGAAAACTGAAAATATGTAAATAAAAGCTATAATTTTAATTCTAAAAGTATTATAATAACATAGTGATAGCATTAGAAAAAAAGTGTCCTTAAAGACACTACGAAAGTGCATAAGGTTACCAAAGAAGCAGGGGACATGATTTCATCTGTGCCCATGTTTACACTTACAAAAAATTGATGAAAGGTTGCTTGATTGCAGATAAAAAAAAAAAATAGGTGAAAACAGAGGGGGAATGGGATTGGGATTCCTCCACAACCGAGAAATCAGCCAAGCATGAATAAGGATTTGGTTGAGTTGCCTGGCAACTGAGGGGCCATGCACAGGGCTTTGATGCTTAAAGTGTGTAACAGAAGTTGACTGTTGGTTCTCTGTGTGTTTATGTAGTATGTGTGTACTCAATCCATTCGCCGCTGGGCTCCCCAAAGCGCGATCGTACCTGTTGCACCGCTCAAAGGAAGGCCCTGCATGTTACCACAAAGGTGTTTTATATTCATGTGTATGACACCGTGCACCTTCTAAATTGTACAGTTTTTTTTTTCAATCGCAAGGCCACTCTTTCAACACTTTACACATTCTCCTTACCTACCTTCAGCTTGGCATTGCAGTAAATTTAGTAAATTTCACCTTCAAAATGCACTGAAACTCCCAAAACACATACAGTGTCTCAAATCTCACCCCCAAGGCGTCACCTGACTGACAAGCAGTTTGTCCATGCTTCAATAGGCTATCTGACGCTTTAGGCGCCCTTTAGCGTCAGTTACAGGATCGCGTGTAACCCTACCCCTACCCCAGAGCTAACCTACCCGCGTCATCTAACTGACGCTTTTCCTTTTGTGTCAGTTAGATGACGCCGTAGGATCCCGTCATATAACTGACGCTAAAGGGCGCCTAAAGCGTCAAATATTGATGGTCAAAAGGTGACGCTTTGAATGCGTTGAATCAAGCCGTTCTTATAACACTAAACAATCACCAAAAAAACACCAACAATAGGTAACTTTAAAAATTCTTTACAAAACAAGAATGACACTCATACTGTTTAGAATTCACTGCAGGGTATTAGTCCATATACATTACAGTACACAATTATTCCTATGTTTTCCCCTTTTATGTAGAGGGTATTGAAAATATTTCAATATGTCTGTTCCAGTTTTGATTATGCTAGGTTTTCAAATTAAGTTTAGCCGTTTTGAACAGAGTATGTGTGGGCAAATTGCCTGTATAGGTGGTGTTTGCGTCAGAGTGAGAAATGAATTCATGTCATTTGAAAGATTTAGTGGTTGAATGCATTTTGTGTCAAAGCAATGATAAACAGTTTAGCCCACACAAACTGCTGTTGTGCTCTTTGTGTGAAGAGTTTTGAAAGAGTGACTTGAGCATTGAGAAATGGGTCCTATAGCAATTATAAAAAACCTTAATATTTACAACAGTAGTTGAAAAGCAAACTTTTGACGAACTTTGATTCATCATGTGGATTTCTATTTTCCACCAGTGTTAAAAGAATAGTTCACCCAAAACGAAAATTCAACCAGAATTTAAAATAGCCATTGCTGGAAGCCAAATCTGTCACGATTTTATCTTGTCTCTGTCACGTTTTGGTTTTGTTCATGTCATCTTCCATGTCTGTCATGTGATTCCCTGTTTGTCATTTGATCCTGTCATGTGTCTTGTCATTGGTTAATCATGTGTTCATCGTTCATAGCTGTCCCTTGTCTTGTCATTAGTCTTGTGTATCTAAGCCCTCATGTTTGCCATGTGTCTTTGTCAAGTATTGTTTCCTGTGATCCTCTGTTGCTGTCCACGGTTTTGTTTCATGCCACGTCATACTTTTGTTATGTTTTGAGAAAATCTCAGGCACGTCTCAGATCCATATAATTTTCTCTCAGAATGTTAATGGCTGACATAATACAGATGTCTTCCACTCAGAGCACATCTGAATATAAAGTAGCCATGAAGAGGGGCTGAAACAGAGCATTCCAGCATTTAAAAATGTTTTGTGAGAAATGTAGGATCAAATATTATCTGAAATAATAAACCTACAAATTTTATTTGAACGCATAATTTTTACTATACGAATTGTTGAAACCAAAGTCATGGGATTTTCTGGTCTGACATTTTCAAACATTTTGAAAGGCATTTGTTATGATTAGGTTCAGAATATGTTGTGATGGAAATGGCTCTGAGATGAGGGAATTATTATGAGGACGAGACGAAGTTCAGGCAATCTGTGTCTCTTTCTGCTCTTCTTCATGGAGCTATCCATGGTGACAATAATGAATATGCCAGCCAGCCTAGCCTACCGTGGTATATCAGGAGATGAATAGGCTACCTTCCAGAACAAGGAGCTACCTAAATGGGGAAATACATTTCTATTGCTTTTATACAGCTTGGTATAAAAACCTCACACTAACCCACACCATAAAAGAAACCTTTCTGCATTTTTACATTCAGTCAGTCAGTCAGCTTGGTCCAGAATTTGACAATTTGTCTGAATGAGGCTAAAGCAAATAAATTAATTTGATAATGATAAAAAAGAGAATAGCATAACAATAAAATTTGTAAGAGAATGGAAATGTTTTTGTGAATTAAAACAACCACAGCAGGTAACAAGTTGATAAAAACTTGGCTGAAATAGAAAAGCTTTAGACTGCAAAACACTCTTATCCCCTTAATTTTATCGGCCTCACCCAGCTATAGGTCCTATCCCAATCTTTAGGCCAACTAAAAGAACATTTTCTCTTTTTTGTTGCCATTATGCCGCCTTTAAAATGTTAATTTACCGAATTATCCATTTGTTTTCTGACAGGGAACATATGGAACGAATCACCGCTCCACATTTTAATTGACAGACGTCACAACCTAGTAGTGGCCGTGTTTACTCCTTTCTTTTCAACCATTGGATAGGATTTAAAAACCGGCTGTTGCTATTTGTACTTCTGACGAAGTATATAGCTAAGTGAAAAACTACGCCGCAAAAGATTAAATAAATTGCTTTCTTAAAAAAGCAAAAGAATACATCCCCATTTTCTTAACATGATAATTAATAACCAACAAACTGATGAAAATGCGGGACAAGGGGTGAAAATGTTGACAACGCAAAGAGGAACGGGTGGTCACCCAAGAGATGTCGCGTTCGTCTAAGGTAACCATAGCAACAGTACGTTGCTCCAGGCTCGAGCTTCCAGTGGAGAAGATTTATTGTAGGCTACATTGACAAAGCATATGCTAGCTATTGCTAGCTTAATTTATTGTAGGCTACATTATAAAGTGATTAAAAATAGCAGTAGCCAATACAACAACAAACTTGTTTGTTTACCGGTCTTTAAGATGCGTTGACTAATTAGGGGAGGCAAAAGATTCTACAGGAAATTGACACGAAATTACTGACAGAAATTTCTTTAAAAAGCTCACTGAACAAACACACACACACACACACACACACACACTAGCCTAAATTACAGGCTTCCATGTAGCCTAAGTTTTACCCAATTTATTCTAGGGTTAAGCTGGTCACTTTGCACATTGGTGCAGCGCCTGAAATTGTCGCATTTGTTACTTTATTAATCCCCAACAACAGCAAAACTAAGTGAAGGTCTCATAAATCACCGCTTGATGTGAATTCTCTGAGGTAGAGCAGTCAGCTCTTTTCCTACAGGCAGTTTCTAATAATTCCCGGAACACTGAGAGCGTCTCGCTCAGCAGAACGATGGAAGAACGCAGCGGTGCCGCAATCAGCGAAATCCCGCATTCACCATTCACATCCACACCGCGTCTGCTGCCTGCTGCCTGACAGAGACCAGGCTCCAGCTCTATGCTGTTGACTAGACAACAGCAGACAGCATACGTTGACTATCAATTATCGTTTTACTAATCGCTTGAATTTCTCAAAGCTTTGATCGCTCTAATTCATTTCGGAGATTGTTTGGTAACAAACCGAGCGTTCGCACGATGGTTCTGCTGCATCGACGCCGGAGAAAAGAATCACTGGTTTGGCTGTTACCGGGTCTGCTTGGAGTCTGGTAAGTTTTCGGTTCAAAGGGGGCAAAAGAAACAAGGAGTGACTACATGACTACAAACACGACTATGATGACTATACAAAAATAGTCATTGACCGACAACATTTAGGCGTGATTCTGTTGCAGAACGATTTAGTTTTACGTTTTTCTTGTAGCACATACACGAAACATTTCTGCGAATAACTGTCAATCACGGCACGTGCAGTTGTTTGTAGCTTATTTGGAATACATTTGATAATATTAATTTTGATTGCAAGTGACAGTTTTGCTTAGAGCATTCGTGTTGATGAGTTTTAAGCGAGGACGAGCAATGTCAGTCTACAAACAACCTTGAGGATATCAGCTGCAATTCAACAAACAACCCAAACTACATTGCTCACACACTATTAGATTTTGCATCATCACGTAGTCAGATTGGAAGGTTATGTCACAATTTCTCCATTGTAAATGTAGCTGTAGCTAAATGTTATGCATAAGTCGTAGTCCACATTAACATCAACTACTTTGGTTTCATTCAGTTGATTTTTGGCATTCTCCTTCAATGTATTCAAGGATGTAAATGTACAAATGCAAATAATAAACATACTTTGTAAGATTACATTCCTCTCATTTACTCATCTTAGAAAGTGACAGATAATAACCAAAGTGTTTCATCTATGGCAGAAAATGCTTTTTCTTTTGTTTTATTTAGGCCTTTGTCTTAACTGCACATTTGTCGGGGTTCTTAGAGCATGTCTCAGAGGCTCACAAAGGTCATTCAGAGGCTACTAATGTGTCCAGACAGAATGAAACTCTGCATTTGAGGAAAATATTCTGTCTATTTTCCATTAACTACTCAGCACTCTGCCAGCAGGGATCAATAACCTACATTCTCTACACCCACGGGTCTCGTCCACAGGGATTCTTCATATTGATTTTTCTGTCTATGTATGGAAATGTAGCTTTTTTTTCTAAAGACAAAACTCAAATATATAAATCACATTTACTGGTTTGTCTGGGTACTTATTTAGACCATTCAGATCAGATGTGAACACATTAATACATTTTATTACATCTAGATGAATGACAGTAGACTACACATTTTCTTTTACAGAATAACAGGCATGAAGACATTTGAATCTTGAGACAGGCTTTATATTAAGTGCATTTTATAGTACACTATGCACTAACAATTAAATTAATAATTTGCTACAATGCACTTATTGTCTATGGCAGATATGATTTTGCATCGTACTTGTAAATAAAAATGCCTGCAGCAATTACAGCTGTGATTAATAGTTCCAATTACATCTATACACTGTTGACCCGTCCCTTACCCATTAACTAAACCTAACCATTACACAAAACCTGTCCCTTACCATACCTGTATACCACCTTAATAGCGGCAAAAGAGTTTTGCAATACAACATGAAGGCAACTACACTAATACCTTAATTTTTTACAAAAGTATATACATTGTAGTTAAATGCACCTAATATAAAGTGGGACCGAATCTTGTTTTGAATGTTTTTCAGAACCCCAGGTGGCTGAAACATATTGATGAAGTTGTGACATCAAAGGAGACCCAGTCTAGACAATTCACGTCCATGGGATTGGTGCACATCTCAATTAGAAATGATACCCGATATGTCTGTTCCTACAGATAATGCACCAGAGAATAAATTTAGAAGCTCTTATACACCATATACTGCAAGAGAGCGAGTGAGAGAGAGAGAGAGTTGTGGGTGATAATTTAAACCCCTCACCTTCAGCTGTTTCCTCCCTCCAATGCCAGAACACATCTTCATTAATCATGGCATTCTTTTATTAGAACCTCCTCTTTGTATCTCCGGCACAGTGCTCATTTAAAAAACTTGCACTCTCATACATTTACAGTCACTGATGACTTCTTTTAAATGTTCTTCCCATAAAACTCATCAAATTTACACTTTCTCACTCTGCATGTCATATTTAGCTCTTTAAATCAGTCTCTCGCTTTTTAGATTTTAAGCACCTAATTTACACTGACTGCTCTTCTCTATTTTAAATGCAATATTGCTCTATTATTTACCTCTCTGCTGTCTGTCTACTTATATTCCCACTGTTTTTTTTCTGCTTTTATGACAGCATGGCATTTGGCCCAAGCAAAGCAGAGGAGGAAGATTATGAGGATGTTCCCATCAATAAAACATGGGTTTTATCACCAAAAGTCTACGAGAGCGACGTCACCCTTATCCTAAACAAATTACTGCAAGGTTATGACAACAAACTGAGACCAGATATCGGAGGCAAGTCATTGTTTGGAAAAGGTTGCATGCTTATCCAGGTCCACACAGAATCTATGCCCCCAAAATTGGCAAAATTCCTGAAGATTCTGTCTAGGCCTCTTTATGACCCTCAAACACAGTGTTACAGCTTAATGGGTAACTGGAAAATGTTAATAATTATAAGATAATGACATCGTTGTTATAAATCCTAATGAAGAGGAACACTTTGTGACAATTAAACCCTCTGAGTAGAATTATGTCATCATTTTTAAGAGACCATCAGCATTTTTGCAGTATGAAATGAAGAGTAATTTGGCTTTAGGATTTTGCTGATGTTTTTCTCTACACCAGAGCTGTACAAATCACTTTATTCTCAGTACATCAGTGTTCTGGAAGCGATGCAGCTGAGCTGACTAAAGCTCAATTATTTAAGAGGGTTTATCTCAGTGGTGTTTGGTTACAATAGACCCAAATCACTATTGATCTTCCTTCTTTATCTGTGTTTCATGTGTCTGAGCTAGAGAGAGAGTGTAAGTATGAGAAGAACTCAGTTAATCAGTGCAGAGCAAGTGCTGAATGATTGCAGGTGAACTAGCAGTGTTTGTGTTATTCGTCTCTTTGACTGGATTACCTGTGACAGAAACCGCACGTAAGAAGATTCAGCCAGCTTTGAGTGATTTGCGTGGCTGTTACAGGAAATGTGAATTGCGTTTGCAGCCCATTTCACTTCTCTAAGGTGGCATATTTCTGAGTGAAACAGAATATTCAGCGAGAAAATGTGATTTTATCCACTGATTGGGAATAGATTGGATGGTTACATGTTAGGACAGAGCCAGACTGAATGCGAGTTTGCTAAAAATAGCTTTTTGGCTATTTGTTTTCGATAAATTATTTAAAATAAATGCATTATTGTACTGTTTTGATATTGTAATATTGTTTTTATCTTTTTGTGTTCATTTGAAAGTTATGATTATGTAATTTGAATATATTTGTATTTGAAATTATATTCTAGTGAGACCGACTGTGATTGAGGCGGCAGTGTACGTGAACAGCATAGGCCCGGTAGATCCCATCAATATGGTGAGCAGAAATATATAATACTGCATTATGTTCAGAGCTGTAAACAAACTGTTTAAATCCATTTTCACGACCATCACACTCAGTCACAAGCAATTGCCACACAATTTCATGGTTACAAAAGCAGCTTTTTACTTTTTTAGGAGTACACCATCGACATCTTCTTTGCTCAGACATGGTACGACAGCAGACTCAAATTTAACAGCTCAATGAAAGTCCTCATGCTCAACAGCAACATGGTGGGAAAAATCTGGATCCCCGACACGTTTTTCCGCAACTCACGTAAATCTGACGCCCACTGGATCACGACACCGAATCGCCTTCTTCGGCTCTGGAGCAATGGAAGAGTGATGTATACTCTAAGGTGCGTCTACGGTTAACATTGTGAGCCGAGTGATTGAATGGTGTTTGTGTCCTTGTATTTCTGTTCCTGTAACATTTGCTTTTGTATGGAATTACACCCGTTGTCTGTTGCAGCACGTTTAGGCCATTACATCTGATTCACATATTTATGTCAGGGACTGTTAAATCAGAAAGAGGGTTTGATCTCTGATGTCATAGAGTACAAATATCAAAGCCTCAAAAATGTCACAATCAACATTTTTTGTTTGTTTTGCTATTGTCTATTATTCTTTGTTTGTTAGGTTGACAATTAATGCGGAATGCTACCTTAAGCTGCATAACTTTCCCATGGATGAACATTCGTGCCCTCTGGAGTTTTCAAGCTGTAGGTGTTAAATTCTTATGTCAATTTGTCACTCAGCCTCAGTCCTGTCCTGAGTGCCGCCAGGCAGCCAATCCCCACACATTGCCTCTGTCAGCCAACCATGCATTGCCAATATCGACCAAACAAACCTTAACATTACAGCTGGCCTTTAGCAGCTACCATCCTCCCACCTTGGATTGAGCGAGGACAGAATCCATCGTTCTCCAGACCTCTCTCCAACCCCTCTCTCCTCTTCTCAGTCTACGTGACCCCTCATTCCTTTATTAGCACCATGCTTCAGCTTCTCATTTGTCATCATCCACCGTGGGCATGGGAAGGGCATGCCGCGCTTTACACTCATTGAGTGCTACTCAATGCCATTCTGCTATCATTGTAAATTTTTCACTTGCATACTGAAATGAAAGGTCACATGCAATCTGGTGGATGTGTTTTTTTTTCCATTTGCAGATGGGTATCCAAAGAATGAGATCCAGTATAGATGGCAGCGTCGTTCAGTTGAAGTTGCGGACCAGCGCTTCTGGAGGCTTTACCAATTTGCCTTTGTGGGCCTACGGAACACTTCTGATGTTGCAAACACTCAGTCTGGTATGAACATACAGAATAAAAAAATAAGATTTGTAAAATAAGATAATTAATAACAGTAGATTTACAGTAATCCATAGTAATAACAAGACCAATACACAAGCAGTTATTATTGATCGTATTGTTATTAGGTAATAATAGTATATTTGGAAAATGAAAAATGGCAAGATAAAACAAATTTGGTTGCACTTTATTTTACAGTGCGTGTACTTTCAATGTACTTACAGTGTACTTACCCACAAAGTAGATTCTGAGTAATGTTAGGTAATTACCATAGATATATACACTAGATGTCGTCTTGGCTACGGCAGTTCATTAGAACGAATGCGTCAATAGAGCTGCCATCTTGGAACAGGGGAGCCCCTCCACTTTATTGCATCAGAGTCAATGTAGACAAAAGTCTAATGGAAATAAAATCACCATAAATCATCATGAATGCAATTTTCTTTTTTTTTTTTGGTTTGTTCCAACCGTCAGACAAGAATTCCTTCATTCTTGAAAATCATACACAGACAGCACAAAAGTCCGTCGCCATCCATTAATTCAAAGTAAAGGCAGAGATAGCAGCGTTACTTAACTACTTCCTATGACAAGACCCCTGTTCCAAGATGGCGGTGGTTTTGACGCATGCTTAGAACCCCAAGGTGATATCTAGTGTATATGTCTATGGGTAATTACATGTTTTAAGTTAAGGTTTAGGGGTGGGTTCAGAGTTAGTACCTTGGTTTTATCCAGTTAGTCAGTGTCATTACTACAGTAAGTACATAGTATGTTTTATATTATGTGGATTCATGATAATATTAACAATTCTTATTATTAAAACACAAGCGGTTGTTATTATTATTAACAGGAGAATACGTGATTATGACTATTTTCTTTGACCTGAGCCGGAGAATGGGTTATTTCACCATCCAGACATACATCCCCTGCAGTATGATTGTGGTTTTATCCTGGGTCTCTTTCTGGATTAACAAGGATGCTGTACCTGCCAGAACATCTTTAGGTAATTTCAAAAAGCCTCAGAATGAATACAAATGTATGTTAAAATGAAAAGGAAATGCTTCAATGGGGTGCTCAATTACTGTGCATCATGATTGGCATAGGTATCACAACTGTGCTTACCATGACAACCCTAAGCACCATATCGAGGAAGTCCCTGCCGAAGGTGTCGTACGTGACAGCCATGGATCTATTTGTGTCTGTCTGCTTCATCTTCACCTTTGCTGCTCTTATGGAATATGGGACTCTACATTATTTCACAAGCAATCGACCGAAAAAGAAGACCAAATCAAGCCATGCACAGGTGAATGAACGTCATTTGTTTTTAAAGGGCCAGTTCATCATTTTATCACGGTCATGTCAAAACAAAAAGAAATTCTGAATAATGTGCTGATGGCTCTTTTCTATTACAACTAATGGGAATCTAAAACACTCTTACAAATGAAGGTTCCAAAAGGGGCTTTACACAATGAGGAATCAATTTTGGTTCTATAAAGAACCTTTCAGTGAACAGTTCTGAAAAGAATCCTTTATTTTTAAAACTGCAGTCCGTAGTTGTTTTATGTTAAAAATGATCCAAAATACATATTTGAGAAAATACAAAATCGGCCAGTGTTCCACGCTATCTGCTTGCCCATAGCTCGATTCAAAGCGGTAAGCTTGTAATAATGTTTTTAAATCCAATGGTACTTCTTGGATTTCCGCGGGAGATCCGAGCATGTCTTTGCGTCATTACGTCACATCTATACACATAAAGGAGGAGTCTCGGCTAGTCTCGGCTATATTGCGTGTGAGGATGCTGGAGGTGGAGATTTATAGCCTTTTCTCACAGCACTTGATATTATTAAACTCATCAATTTGATGGTGGATTCAAACGACAATCACCAGTGACAACAGATTCACCCGCTGTAAAATGCAAAAGACTTCGTTCGGACTTCGGAGTGGCCACAGAAAAAAAGAGACTGCAACCGGACCCATGCGAAAACAAAAATAGAACAAAGTTGAGAACAAAGTATAATTTGCACGGTTTTGCTTGATGATAAGCTATTGTTAGATTTAATCAGTGCGACTTACTGCAATGTCAGAACCAGAACTAAAGTGGATGTTACTTACTTGTTCAGATGACATTTTCCAGTGAAAATTATTATGTTAGTCATACGTACTTCCAAAAAGAATAATCTGTGATTCTGAATACCAGTATCCAGTATCCACACCGGCACAGTGATTGACAGCTGCAATTCAGTGCCATGTCGAACTACAACTCACGTAAAGTTGATAATTCCGCGAATGACTGCAATTGCAGATTTCGAACAGAGATGGCGACAAAGAGGGAAAAATGCGGACTGCAGCTTTAAGAATGAAGAATCACCATAAAAGTATCATAAAAGTGGTCCATAAAACTTGATAAAGCTTGTGAAGCCATATGCTACATTTTGTGTGATGAACTGAAATGACCATTAAATCAGTGAACTGAATTTGTGAACCAAATCAGCGATTCATGAGTGAATCACATACAGTAAACCACTTGTGTGAAATGGATGAACCAAGTCATTGCAAAGATACGATTCACAGGAATGGTTCACTTCAACTTCTCACATGAACAACATAAGGAGTTTAATGTGAATTATGACATAAATCTGGTCCCTCACACAAATCTATCATTTGAATTCACTACTTTTGGTGATTTCTACTTTCAAAAGAATAGCGAACATATTCTTTAAAAAACAAATAAATTAAAATAACATAAAGTCACACAAGGATGATCAAATGACAAAATATTAAACTGTTACTGTTATAGAACAAGTCATTAAGCCCCTAGCTGATCAATGATATGTAATACAATTATAGTACTAATAAGCTGACTAACTTCTTCACGGCTCAGACCTTAGAATAGGTCACATTGTACTTTTGTTTGCAGTTAATTGAGTGCGCTGTGGCATTTGCTTTTGTATTGCACACTGGTTATAGCTTTTGTGACCTTGCTGTTCCCATGTAGAATCCCAGCACGGTTGACATCAGACCAGGGACATCTTTGATGCAGATGAACAACATTGCTCCCTACCTCGACGACGATGATTATGCGTATGAATGTCTGGACGGGAAAGACTGCGCCAGTTTCTTCTGCTGCTTTGATGATTGTCGCTCCGGAGCTTGGCGTGAGAACAGAATGCATGTCCATGTCTCCAAAATCGACTCCTACTCCCGAATATTCTTCCCAACCGCCTTTGGCCTCTTCAATCTTGTCTACTGGATTGGATATCTGTATCTTTAGAGATGCTGGGCAAGTTGGAGAGGGACTCTAGTTCTAGTAATATTTGCAAATCATCTGTAAATCTCCATCTGCTAAAGCTGGCGGCATAAATCTTTGAGAAAAGGGGACATGTGAGGCTTGAGTTGGATGTATTAATACTTCAAGTATTTTTAGTTGTATGAGATCTGAATCTTAGAAGGACGTGATTCTGCATTGATGCCAACTGAATATTATCAGCGATCTCAGTTTTTGAGAAGGAAATGTTAAGAGTTTCACCAGCTACACAGGCCATATCAAACAAATCTCATGTATATTGCCTAGTTTAAAATGATCTCTTGAATATCCGCCAGAATACCTGCAGCTTTTTTGAACTGCAGTATTAGCATCACTAATGCAACTATATGTTAACTTCAGGTTATTAACTCTCTGGCTGAAGCATAATATTATTATTTGCAATGAACAGTAGATATGATATATTAGGTGCTTCGGATACTAATTTATAGCTAACTACTTGTCAGAAAACTAATATTTACATGTGTTAATATCTTTGTTTTTAATTTAAAGTAGCAGCATTTCTGTGTGAATTACCTGCATCTTGCTGAGTACTAATCAAACCAAAGCATAGATATCTGAAGGTTACGTGAATAGAATTTTTATTTTGCTCAAGAATAACCCAGAAGCCATTTACCAGGAATTAGCCTAATAATACTGTGAAATGTTCTTGTCTTAAACTAACAAGTTGTCTCTGGAATAGATGACACAAAGAAATGCCAACGTGCTCAAGATTTCTTAAGGTTCATGTGTATTTTTATATATCGAACGAAAGGAACAGAGCAGCCTTTACAATGCACAAATGTTCAGTGTCCTTTAGTAAAAATTAGAGTTCATCACTCTCTTGCGCATTCAAGACATCTCCTTGCGAACGGCTAGATTTCTATGAGCGTAATTGCATGACTCATCTGAGCTCCTACGGCTAATCAACCCACATTTGGAAAACTGTCTGATGGACTTTCTTCAGCAGAAGAGCTTTAGACAGACCCATCACACACAGAGTATCAAAATGAAAACATTTGAAAACGTACAGTCTTCATAACACAAACCATGGATGCCTTCTCTATTGGTAATAGTCTAAAACGGGCATATTTGTCTTAAATTAGGTTTAATCTGATCTCAGAGTCCTATTGAGAAACAGATGAACAGAGCGCGTGAGCAAAAGTGCCATGTCTTGACCCGACTCTCAAGTCTTTTTCTCAATCTCCTGTTGTGCTTTCGTTACTTTTGCTTGTTTTATTTATTAATGCTTCCATGTGGTTTGTCTTTTGCTAGATGTTATCTTGATCATAGACGGCTTTGTTGTGAACATCTGTTATGCGCTGTGTTGTACCCTGTAGCTTAATATATTCTGTACATTGTCTTTCTTAATGACAGTCAAACAGTTTCAGACTAATGCAACAAGAGCAACTGCCAGATGATAGTACAAATAAAAATATATAGAGAAAATCTATTTATATTTTGACAATATTATCTATTGAACACAATCTGTTTCAGACCTTTAATAATGCATTTTAGTGACCTTCATGCATCTGTGTGAGCGTGTGCATGCGTGTCTGAACGTGACTACGGCTCCCACGTTCATCTCTGTGCGCTCTGCTCTCCGCGCAATCTAGGTGTTGTTGTCGTCGTGTCTTCTGTAAGTGCTAATCTTCGTGCTATTTACATGTTCATTATGTTTTTGAAGCTCTGAACACTGTGAGTAATAAAACAGTGCCTGCAAAAAATTAATAAAATTCTACGCTCTCTCAAACTCTGTTGATGATTGCACATCTTATCAAAATCCCAAAGCGTCAAGATAAAAAGGATGAATGTATTTTCCCTCGGGCTAACACTCTTGTAGTATTACTTTGTTAATACCGCAATTAGCTTTATAATTATTGCCACAAGTGAATGAGCACATTTTCATAAGCATAAATTTAATTTCAGTCATTTATGGATCTTAAAGGGATAGTTCACTTTGAAATTAATTTTTGATATGTTTTAGCTTACCTCAAGGGCATCCAAGATGACGTAGGTGTCTTGTTTCCACAGTATTTTCAATTTTGACATTTTTCGGAAGTTTTACCTTTCACTTAACATATTTTGATATACGGGAATTCACAATGGAAGACGATTTCGATATATCTAAATATGTTTAGTGAAAGGTAAAACTTGAAATCTCCGTGTAAACAATGCGTGGCATAGACGCGCGAGGGATCACTTCCGGCGTAAAGTCTGGAGACGGGTTCAGTTCGGTTCAGTTGGACGTCTGATTCAGATTAGTTCGACGGCTAACAAGAGGTAAAAAAAAACTATATAAATACTGTTTCGTTTACCGTTTCGTGTCATAGGCCATCAATGTGAACTTAGTTACATTTACGATTCATTAAATCATGTTTAATTTGGACTTCTCTGTGCATGCTCTTTGAGGTGGATTCCCTAAAACTGCATTATGACTGACAGACAACAACGGTTTGACCAAAAAATGTCAAAAGGAAACAAAGACACCTACATCTTGGATGCCCTTGAGGTAAGCTAAAACATATCAAAAATTAATTTCAAAGTGAACTATCCCTTAATTGTTATTATTTCACACATGAATGAGGAAGTTACTCCATCTTAGGGACCATGTGACTAAACACTTTGTATATGATAAATCTACAACATTAAAAAAAGTGATTTAAAGGGCTAATGTACCCTTACCTTCCTGTCATTCCAAACCTGTATGACTTTTTTAATCTGTAAAACACAAAAAGAGAAATTAAGTACATTCAATACATTTTTCTTTTTGTGTTCTATACATAAATGATGACAACATTCATTTACGTTGCCATGGATCGCTTAAATACACACATCTGTGATTAGTTGTGAAACGTTTTCCTCACACTTTTGCTATTCGACAAATGTCTCACAACTAGAAAGCCTTTTATTTATGAGGGAAGGCCGATTCTCTCTCCTACCGTCGGGCCTCAGCTCTTTTATTTAAGTTCACTCACTTCTTGACAATTTAAACACACTCTATATACTTTTACTTCCAGTTACAGGTAGCCATTACAAGCTCTGTGATTATATTTTAGATGAAGACTGCTGTTTAACTGGGAATATAACAATAGCCTGCCATTACAAGGGCTGCAAAATGAAGCAAGAGGTCCTCGCTGCAGTCTGTAGCACGATGACGTAGCTGGACGGTCCAATACGTGTTGGACCCTGTACCGCGCGCATGCGCACTAGTCAAGTCAAGTCATCTTGATTTATATATCGCTTTTAACAATTTAGATTGTTTCAAAGCAGCTTTAATTTAATGTAACAGATTGTTTTTGCTTTATAGCGGTTCGTGAATAATGTTATTTTACAGCTAGTTAGTTTTGATTCTGTCGAAATGATAATTTGTTATTAAATTAGGGGATGACACCGTTCTCTCTAAACAGACTTTAAACACGATCCTGTGATAAACGCTGATGGCACTTGCACATTAAGAATTCATAGGCCTAGTTAGAGAGTTGGTGAACAATCGTTGATCTTCCAAGAATACATTTCACGAGCGAAGCTCTTATTTTCAGAGCTTTCAGAATAAAACCTTTTTTTTTTTAATAATTGCGACTTTTTCCTTACAATTGCGAGTATACTTTTCGCAGACTTTATTTCTCAGAATTGTGAGATATAAGTCAGAATTGCGTGAAATAAAGCCTCAATCGCATGTTATAAAGACAGAATTAGGTGAAATAAAGCATCAATCGCATCTTATAAAGACAGAATTAGGTGAAATACCTCAATCGCATGTTATAAAGACAGAATTAGGTCAAATAAAGCCTTAATCGCATGTTATAGAGAAAGAATTAGGTGAAAGAAAGCCTCAATCGCATGTTATAAAAACAGAATTGCGTGAAATAAAGTCGCAATTGTGTGCTATAAAGTCAGAATTCTGACCTTTTTTCTCGCAATTCTGAATGTATAACATAAATGCGAGTTTATTATTACAAGATTTATTTTCCCCATGCTGTTATTATTTTAGCATTTTCCTTACTTATTCATCAATAATTACTTATAATTATTTAACAGTATTATACTACACAGTTTGAACATAATCTCAGTACAATATTGAGCTTACATATCACTTAAAACCAATGCATTCGAATTATAATCAGAGATCGGCACTGCGCATGCGTAAATGACGTCACCAAAACACATCCATCCACTACGTATTGGACCATCCAGCTACGTCATCGTGCTACAGGCTGCAGCGAGGGGTGTCTCAAATGAAGAGAGAACTGAAAAGATAATTTTCCTGTTAGTTTGGAAATACAGACCATTTTCCGTCAGGTTTCTCAGCTATGATAACCACAAGCCTTATCACTGCATTGCGAGACGGCTTTGGTTTAATAGAGTTGCTCTTTTCTGCTTGCTGAGTAACTGTTTTGTAGTCTGTACTTATCGAATGCAGTGTTAGAACTGAAAGATGTGCTGCCACTGAACTGTAATGAAATGAAAGGGTGTACATGAGGACAACAAAGCTGAGAGAAATATGCTTGATGAAAAGAAAAACGTTGCAGTTGAGCGAGATATTTACATAGAAACCATCCCAAATCAATTTCTCCTCGCATCAACAGGTTAAAGCAGCATGAATAAAACATCTTGAACAAGGTGTAGTTCAGTACACACTGCAAATGGTAAAGTTATGAATTTTTAATGTCTCAAACTGTCCTATACTCGCATAAAAGGATGTGCTTGTTTCTTCTATACATGAGGACATCAATGCATTGCAAATCCAAGCAACTATTCACCAATATTTCATGAAGAAAACACAGATGAAAAGTATTTTTAGCATGAATAGAGACTTTTAACTCTTAAAGGGCCACTGAAGTGCCTTGAAACGTGCAGGAATATATGTGTTGACAGAATTCCTACAGAAACAGGAAGAAAAAATAGGGCATGTCGAACAGCTTTAAAATAGCCAATAGCGTTTCCTCTGAGCTTAGTAAAGCTGCAGTTTCCCCATAATCTCTAACTGTTTCTCCTCATAATCTCCCCAATTTCGCTTTAAAATATAGCATTCTGTACAGAATTTAAATATATCCAATATGTTTTCTGGTATGCGCCAACGATCCAATAGAAAGCATATTTACACTGTCTGAATCATTCCCTACCCCCTATATAGTGCACTGTGTCATTCACCATGTCAAAAATAGTAAATGTGTGAAGCTGCAGCTTCAGCATTATAATGTAGGGGGTGGGTCGCTTAGATTCTAAAGAGTATTTGATTGGACAGAAAATCTGACATGAAGCTGAAGTGCAGAGTGATGTCATCAAAATCATTGATCTAAAGAAAGTGTAAAAAGAAAGGAATGTAAAACCTGCGTGAAGCAGCCCAATGCCAACCTTGCTTCAACTTCAGTAAACGTATTACTCAACCAACAAATTAAAAAACTTGAAGAAAAGCTTTGATTATTTTAAGTGAAAATGAGCCCTCGCCGTCTAATTATCTATATCACTTACATGATTGCGTAACTCAGGATCCGCACGTATCTGAAAATCCATACACACTTGGAAAAAAATAAATTCGATTGGCTGATGAATCTGGCAATCTGAAATTGGATTGGATTCTTTTGTAATTGTAATTGGATTCTAATTATGTGTACTGTCGAGGGATTCGCTTGTAATTCTGTGTGAAATTGTGTTTCACAAATTTTGCTGCTTCAGTTGTTGTGATGTTGATTTACATTGTTTCTAGATTATTGCGCAGAGTTATCAGATGCATTTTAAATAATTGTAAAAAGCTTAATTGGCCAAAAAAAAAAAAAAGAAAAGAAAAGAAAGGCTTTTGGACAATGGCCTGGTGTCAAGAAGGGCATGCAGAAAAGAAGCTATACTGCTCTCAAAGAAAAACATCAAGAACAGACTAAAATTCTGTAGGAAGAAGTACAAGTATTGGACAGCAGAAGCCTTCTTTGAAATGTTTGGGACATCTGAAAAATCAATTGCCTGGAGAAGAAAAGGTGAACGCCATTAATCCTATGTTGTGCCAACAGTGAAAAATCATGAGACCATTTATGTGTGGGGTTGCTTTTCATCCAAGGGAGTGGGCTGTCTAAGTCTGCCCAAAACACTGCCAAGAATAAAGAATGGTTTCAAAACATCCACCTAGGA